GGCGGGCCCAGGCTGGAGCGATGAGGATCACCGCCGCCCTGTCTCTGCGCACCTTGAGTAGGACCACGTGTACCAAGGGGAGCAGGGGGAAGGCATACATCAAGCCCCCTCTCCATGGGATCGCAAACACATCTGCAAGCGAGCCCGGGCTGCGGCCCTGGAACTAGCAGAACCGTGGGCATTGGGCGTTGGCCCTGGTGGCAAACAGGTCTACCCGGGGAAACCCCCACCTGCGGAAGAGCGAAAGCACGACGTCCGCCCTGAGCGTCCACTCGTGCATGCGGTACGACCTGCTGAGGGAGTTTCGTACCCCCGGGAGATAAGACGCCTCAAGGTGAATTGCATGGGCTATGCAAAGGTCCCAGAGGAGGAGAGCCTCGAGACAGAGTGGCGAGGAATGGGCCCCGCCCTGTTTGTTTTATATAAAACATGGGAGTAGTGTTGTCTGTCCGAACTGTCACGCTGTGACCACTCAGAGTGGCATGAAAGGTCTGGCAGGCGAGACGAACCGCCCTGAGCGCCTTCACATTAACATGGAGCAAACGCTCTGCTCTGGACCACAACCCCTGCGTCATGAGGTCCCCCAGGTGAGCCCCCGATCTGTGGTCTGACGTATCTGTCACCAGCGTCAGGTCCGGCTGTGGGGCGGCGAAGGGGATGCCTTTGCAAACCACGGGCTGGGACTGCCACCAACGCAGGGAGTCCAGCACGTCCCTTGGGGCTGTCACTACCAAGTCCAGGGGGTCCCTGCCTAGGAGGTACACCCGAGCGAGCCACGCCTGCAGAGTCCTGAGTCTCAGTCTGGCATGCCTGACCAGGTGCATGCATGCTGCCATGTGGCCCAGCAGCCGCAGGCAGCACCTGGCCGTTGTCGTTGGAGACTGGTGCAGGGAGGCCACTGATTGCTGGATAGCCTGGAATCGGGATACTGGAAGGCTTGCTCCGGCCTGCACCGCATCCAGGACTGCTCCTATGAATTCTACTCTCTGCGTGGGTACGAGCGTGGACGTGGGGACATTGACCAGGAGTCCCAGCTTGCAGAACAATCTCAGGGCCACCTCCACATGGCCCAGCACTTCCGCCTCGGATCGACCCGCCAGGAGCCAGTCATCAAGGTACGGGTACACCCGGATTCTCTGCCTCTGTAAGAAGGCTGCCACCACGGCCATGCACTTCGTGAACACCCGTGGGGCCACGGCTAGACCAAACGGGAGAACCGCAAACTAGTAATGTTCTTGGCCCACGGTGAAGCGTAGGAACCGCCGATGTGCTGGGTGGATGGCGATATGAAAGTACGCGTCCTTCATGTCGAGGGCGGCGTACCAGTCCCCCGGATCCAGGGAAGGGATGATGATGCCCAGAGAGACCATGTGGAACCGGGCCTTGGCCAGGAACTTGTTGAACCTGTGCAGGTCTACGATGAGGCGAAGGCCCCCTTTGGCCTTGGGGATGAAGAAGTAGAACCCCTTCCCCCTTAGAACCGCCTCTACCGCCCCCGTCTCTAGCAGAGAGCGGACTTCCTTCTCTAGGAGATGCTCGTGAGAGGGGTCCCTGAAGAGGGACAGGGAAGGGAGGTGGGAGGGGGAAAGGGAGGAGAACTGCAGCGGGTACCTGTTCTGCACCGTGCGTAAGACCCAACAATCTGATGGAATGTTGGACCATGCACGGGAGAAACGGGACAGGCAGTTCAGGAAACAAAGGGACGGATCCGGTGACTGGTCTGGTACGCTGTCCTCGAGCGCACCTTTCAAAGCCTGGCTTAGTGCCCGGCTGGGGTTTGTGCTGGCCTTGGTTCTGGCCCGGCGCATTATTGTTACTGTTGTTGTTGCCCGGCGCCTGTTATCCCTGCCTCGCCTACGGTAAGGCTCATGCCTATGGCGACGCTGCAGCTTAAAGGGCTTCCTCTGGGTCGCCGGGGTGTGCATACCCAGCGACTTAAGCGTAGCCCACGAGTCCTTAAGGCTGTGCAGCCTCGTGTCTGTCTGGTCCGAGAAGAGGCCGGACCCTTCGAAGGGAGGTCCTGGAGTGTATTCTGGACCTTGGGCAGCAGGCCTGACTCCTGGAGCCACGCCAAGAGCCTCATGACCACCCCGATGCGATTGTTCTAGCCGCCACATCCGCTGAATCCAGGGAGGTCTTGGCTACTGCCTTGCCCTCGTCCACCAGGGCCATGAACTCCTGTTGGGAACCTTGCGGGAGGTTGTCCTTAAACTTCCCCACCGCCGCCCAGGAGTTGAAATTATGCCTGTTAAGGATGGCCTGCTGGTTCGCAATCCTCAACTGAAGGCCCCCAGATGAGTACACCTTTCTGCCAAAAGGGTCCCGGAGTTTTGCCTCCTTGGCCTTAGGGGCTGGGGCCTGCTGTCTATGGCACTCCTTTCATTTACTGCTGAGACCACTAGGGAGCATGGACTCGGGTGGCAGAACAGGAACTCATAGCCCTTAGATGGGGCAAAGTATTTACACTCCACTCCTTTGGCCGTTGGAGCGCTGGAGGCCGGGGTCTACCATATGGTCTTATAGTTGGACTGAATGGTCTTAATGAGCAGGAGCGCTATTCTGGATGGACCTTCGGGGCTCAAAATGTCCACCATGGGGTCCTCCTGCTCAACCATCTCCTCAGCCTGCAACCCCAAGTTCTGGGCGACCCTGCGCAGCAACTCCTGGTGGGCTTTAAGGTCTATCGGTGGAGGGCCGGACACCGCTGTACCCGCCACTGCCTCATCCGGGGATAACGAGTAAGTTAGCTGCTATTCGACTCCCTCTGGCTGGTCCTCCTGCTCCCCTTCTCCCGTGGGAGGGGCCTCCAGCTTGGGCCAGATCAGGAGTCCATGGGACGGCACCGCACTCGGTGCCGGTCTCTCCGGTTTATCCTGGGGGGTGCCGGGGGCCTGGATACTGTAGCCTCTGGCACCATCTGGCGTTGGTGCAGGGACCGGGATCGCTGCACCGAGTAACTTGCCCTGGACGGGGCCCCTTGACTCTCCGGATAGGCCTAGGGGGTCGAAAAAGGCCAATGGCCTGGTGGTCCCCATTGGGGTTGCCAGCCCATCTGAGGGTCCCTGCTGTCCGGGGCCTGGTGCAGGTAGCTATAGCGGCCGGACTCAGCGCCGGACTGTGGCAACACCGATTGCGAAGGCCACGGCGGTACCAACGATCTGCACCAGCGTGAGAATGAGCGGCTCCTGGCTGCGCGGGAGCAGTACTGGTATCCCCGGAACTGGGACCGGGATCAGATCTGGACCGGGACCTGGATTGGTGCCAGCGTTCCCTGGACCGGGACCATCTGCAGGAGTCCTCTGGCGAGGGCTGTCTCAACTCCTCCCGGTGCCAGTCTCTGGGTGGTGCCGGACAGCGGTGTTCCCTTTCCGGTGCTTCCTCACGCCGACCCACTCCCGGTGCTGCGACCTTCTTCTGGGCCGCCAGTAACTGTGAGTCCGCGGAGTCGGAGCTCGACCGGGACCAACTCCGGGAGTGGTGCCGGGACGGTGTCCTCGAGCGGCACGCCATTGCTGGCTTACCCCTCGACAGCACCCGTTGCATGGGTGCCGGAGGGTTCTTCCTATGCAGGAGGGGGCTCGCCGCCGACAGCTCGATGAGGTCCTTTGCAGCCTCAAAGGTGCCAGGCGTGGAGGGCTGATCCGTTATGCCCTCGAGCCCATTGTCTGCACTGAGCTCACTTAGGTCTGAGCTTGGTGGGGCTTGTGCTGCCGGGACCGCTGATGTCGGCGTCGGTACCACAGCCTTTCCGCTCTTATCGGCGCCCGGGGCCTTGGGAGGCGTTGGCCTCCTGTGCGGGGAACGACCACGCCTTCCTTTCGGCTGCGCCGGGGGCCGCACCAGGGAGGACGAGCGGTGCCAGGGCCTAGTCTGGCGCTCCAGGGCCGACAGTTTACGGTGTTTAGCCGGTGCCGGGTCTCTCAACGGCTCCGGGGCACTATGCACCGAGGAAGCCTGAGTCGGCATTGGGCGCTCCAGGCCCGGTGGCTGCAATGTGGCCTCCATCAACAGCTGCTCTGAAAAGGCTAAGGGACTGCTCTTCTACGAGAGAGAGAGGTTGTTCCAACGCCACCACGGACGGTAAGAAGGAACTGGAGGGGGTCGGGCTGGGGTATATATGCACGGCGCAGTGGTGCCACTCGGAGGGGGCCCGCCGGGAGCCACTAAGGGAAAAAGTTTCCGACGCTCGTGCACGCAGTGTGCGCACACCTAATGTGGAATGGACGTGAACAAGCACTCAAAGAAGAATAGAAGGTTAAGAAGTCATTTGATCACTGTCTAGAAGTACTTTCAGGGGGTAAGATTTCTGATGCTATATGGCTCTTTAACAGACAAAGGCATTATAAAATCCAATGGCTGGAAGTTGACTCTAAACAGACTCAGACTTGATATAAGGCACTTTTCTTCTTTTAAGTGAGGGTCATTAACCATTGAAACAACTTACCAAAGGATGTGGTGGATTCTCAGTCACCTGAAGTCTTTAAATCAAAAGTGGGTACCTTTCTAAGAGAGATGATCTAGCTCAACCACAAATTATGAACTTAATGTAGGAATCAACAGATAAAATTATATGGCCTGAGGTATGTAGGATATCAGACTAAATTGTCAGAACGGACTTCCAGCCTGAAAATCTATGACTGTATGAACAGCACAATTCAACAGCCTTCACAGCTGCTGTAAACTGCACTGCCCACTGCTATTAGCAATGCAGCCATCCCAGGCTCAGCCAGCCATACACCCCCACCTCCACCGCACTCGGCATGTACTAGGAGTACAGGAACCACAGCAGCCAGCACTATCCTGAGGGATACTGATGGATGCTTGGGAGGAAGTGAATCTTGAGTCACATATCAGAGGCACAGCATCTCATCATGACATCGATAAGCTCCTACCAGTTCCCAATGAGGGAAGGAAACCCACTCACTCTAACCCAGCTGAGTCAACTGATTCTAGCCCTGTTAGCTGAGCATTACCTTTCCCCACCTTTTGCATGCACTTACCTTGCAGGGAAGGTTTGCAGTTGGTTGTTTGCCAGGTGCAGGACCCGTAAGTTTGCGTGTCCCACCAGGTCAGGGATGCACTGATCTGTGAGGTTATTATTGGTCAAGTAAAGTAGCTGCAGCATGCTGAGACTCTCTTCCCCAGGGCAAACAGATGGCAACGACTCCAGGCTGTTGGCAGATGCATTCAAGTACCTGAGACTAACAACAACAGATTAAGAGACATTAGGTTCCGTTCCATCCCATCCAAACCACTTCACCAGATACGACAGTGATAGAAGCCATATGAGAACCTGGACAGATAGCTATGGCCGCGTTATCATAATGGAAGTCATACCAGATGATTATAATGGTCTCTTCCAGCCTTAAAAATCTATCAATCTAAAAATGACTAGCTATATAGCACTAGAGATGCACATAGTGCTTTTCAACAAAAAGGGAATCCCTGCCCTGAAGAGTTTGCAAGCTAAGTTGAGAGATAACACAGGGAATGGGTAGAAAAAAGCTGAGTGCAGGAAGCTCTCACAGTCACTTGGGAATATAAAGCTTGTGTTTTACTTTATTTAGGATTATTCCATTCCAGTGAGTATCTCTTCTCTGCCCTTAACACCTTATACTGCACCTATCACAGTGGTATCCAAGTGCCTGTCTGCTTTCTCCTTTGTACCTGAAAAACTTATATACTGGTGTCAAAGAATGAAAACTCCTCAGTGCATTGTGTTCCTATGTGCATATGAATTGTGGTAGAGAAATAACAATAACTACAGGCAACTTCCTTGGTGGGCTGGTGGGTTAGACTACACTCACCTTTCCTGCTATCATACAGAAACCTGATTCCCTCAGCAGCCAGCTGGGTGATTTCTCCCCTTGGCACCTGGATTACTGCCTCATAAAACACAAATCTGTCCTATTACCTCTTACTCAACAGGCAATTAAGCACCAGAACCTGGCACCATCAGTCACGCAAACAGCACCATAACCCTTTACAGCTCCAAAGGTGAGACAGCCAGAGGAAACTGATCTTTCACCCAGAGTTAGGTAAAAGCTTCCATCCTAACAAAATGTGTTCTGCTGCCACTTACTTCAGAGCCTTGAAGAAGAACATCTCCGGAAGTTTAGTGATCAGGTTATGCTGGAGGTCCAGCACCTCCAGGGGAATGTGTTCCAGCAGAAGTGGAAGACTCTGCACATGGTTGTGCCCCACCATCAACTTCCGAAGACTCAAACTACTCAGGGTCCTAGGAGGACAGAGAGCTTATTGAATTAGTTTGGCTCACCCTTCTTTCAGAGGCCCAAAGCAGAAAGCTCCTGGTCTTTAATCCTTTTATTAAACAAAATTAGGGCTGAAGAACATTATATTGCCTGGGTCAGTGAATTTTAAACAATGCAAAGAGTGAGATGCATGCATGATCAGGCAAGCCCCTACCTCTGTGTACACATACGTATGTGAGTGCCCCTGCAGTTCTATCCAAGCTATTGTACATGTATGCAGAGATCCCTGATTTGTGCTGTAGGCATGTGTATATAGATACACTGTGAGCATACTTCACAGTGTAGGATGAAGGAGGAATGGAACAGCAAAGGATGGACTAGAATTTAGTGACTTCCTCCTTCTGACAGAAGAGACTATTCTCAATGCTGACAAAGTGATTCTGGGCTTGAATTGCGCTGGATCAACAACCCAGTGTGGTTCTGAGGCTGCCATCATATTCTCCAGAATCTCCGCTTTTCTTTAAAAAACAACCCAAGTCTCTAATCCTAATGACTGCAAAGATAATTTTGGAAAGTTGAGCTGAGTGTAACCACTACAGTGATGTCTACCTGAGTCTGCAGACATACAGAAATAACAACAAACAGGTATAAACTGCCCCATTAATTTCAGTGAGATAACTCAATTAACAGCGCTGACACGGGCATCTATTTCATGACAACATGTAGGAAAGGAAGAGATCATCATGCTAGGGAGCTCTGAAAGCCCACTGCAGGTGACAGCTTATTTGGGAACCACCAGTGAATGGTGCTGAGGAGATATCAGCATCATTTTTTCCCTGCTCCAAGGATGAAGGTGTAACATCCAATTCTCCTCATACAGCACCTGCTCTGGGGTGGGGCACCATCTCCTCTGGCTTCCAGAAGGAGCCAGCAGCAGTTGTTGGTGGCCTACTCCTCCTTTCATCTACTCAGACGAGCCAGGAGGTCTCCGCCCCTGTACTGCTGATGGTGGCCCTCTTCTCTGAGCAGTGACAGGAGTGCAGTACCCTCAGGGTTTCAGGAGCCTAGTCTGCTCTATCACTTATTTCCTGGCTCTAGAGGCTGCTGGTCCTCTCTCTGCATCAGTTACAGCCAGGGCAGTTCTCCACCTCAGAACTATTGTTTCAAGCCCTCTGCATACTGAGACACGTTACTGCATCAGTTAACCTTGAAAATATGACCCAAGTATTTCTATGCCACTATGAGGACCAGAAGTATATAATCACAGAAATGTACAGATGGAAGGCACCTCAAGAAGTCATTAGGTCCAGCCTCCTGTGCTGTGTCAGAAACAAGTAAACCCAGATCATCTCGGATATGTGTTTGTCCAACCTGTTCTTAAAAACTTACAATGGGGATTCCAAAACCTCCCTTGGAAGCCTGTTCCAGAGTTTAACTACCCTTTTAATTAGCAAGGTTTTCCTAATATCTAACCTAAATCTCCCTTGCTGCAGATTAAGCCCATTACTTGTTGTCCTTTCTCCAGTGGACATGGAAAACAACTGATCACAATCCTCTTTATAACAGCCCTTAAAATATTTGAAGACTATTGTCCATTAATGGCTATTAGCCAGGATGGGTAAGGAATGGTGTCCCTAGACTCTGTTTGTCAGAGGGTGGAGATGGATGGCAGGAGAGAGATCACTGATCATTACCTGTTAGGTTCACTCTCTCTGGGGCACCTGGTATTGGCCCGTCGGTAGACAGGACACTGGGCTGGATGAACCTTTGGTTTGACCCAGTATGGCCATTCTTATGTTCTTAGCATGCTTCAGCCAGCTCCTTAAGTACCTTGGGTTGAATTAAGTATCATTTGAATTGAAATGGAAGTTGAGATTCTATCATCACATTACTCTGGGCACACTGACCCTTGCCATACATTTATTGTGCCTATAACATAAAGCAGCTCTGCCCAACAACATACACAGATTTGGAGGACAGAAAAGACCATTATGATCAACTGCTCTGACCTTCTGCATAGTACAGGCCATAGATCGTCGTTCCAAAATTCTAGCCCTGTAACTTCTGCTTGAGCTAAGCCACATCTTTTAGAAAGACATCCAGTGTTGATCTAAAGACTTCAAGTGATGGAGAATCCATCACATCCCTTTGTAAGTTGTTTCTGTTAATTTCTCTCTGTTAAAAATTTGCACATTATTTCTACTCTGAATTTGCCTAGCCTCAGTTTCCAGCCACTGGATCTTGTTATACCTTTTTCTGCCAAACTAAAGGGCTGTCTACTATCAGAAATCTTTTCCCCCGTAGGGACTATATATAGTGATCAAGTCACCTCTTAACCTAATCTTCAATAAACTACATAGATTGTGGTGGTGTTGTAGGTGTGTTGGTCCCAGAATATTAGAGAGACAAGGTGGGTGAGGTAATATCTTTGATTGGACCAACTTCTGTTGGTGAAAGAGACAAGCGTTTTATTTCACCCTCCTTGTCTCTCTAAATAGATTGAGCTTTTCTTTCGTCTCTGGCTAGGTGTCATATTTTCCAGACCTCAAATCACTCTTGTAACTCTTTTCTGAAGCCTTTCCAATTTGTCAACATCCTTTTTAAAGTGTGGACTCCAGAACTGGATACAGTATCCAGTAATGGTCCCCCCACTGCTTACTCATACTTGATATTTCCCTGATTGTAAATCCAAGGATTTCATTCACTCTCTTAGCTATTGGATTGCACCAGAAACTCACTTTCTACTCGTTTTCATGTCCCAGTAAGTCTTTTCCAAAATCTCTGCTCTTCCAGGATACAGTCCCCCATCTTATAAATGTGACCAACAGCCCTTGTTATGAAGTGCAGGACTATGCAAATGGCTGTGTTAAAATACATTCCTCAAATGAGCCCTTTAAACCAAGCAATCCAGGCTGGTATGTACAATTGACCTGTCCCTATTATTATTTACCACTCCACCACTTTTAGTGTCATCTGCAAACTTTACCACCAATGATTTTAAGTTTTCTTCCAGATCACTAATAAACTTTTTTGAATACCACTGGGCTGAGAATAGATACCTGAGGGATGTCACTAGACACACCTCCACTGGATGATGATTCCCCATTTACAGCTACTTTTTTCTCTGTATCTGTTGACCAGTTTTTAATACATTTAATATGATTTTGTATAGTGGGGTTTTTTTTAAATCAGAATGTCATGGTTCAAATGCCTTACAAAACTCTAAGTATATTATGTCAAAGCAATTACCTTTGTCAGTCAAACTTGTAATCTGATAAAAAATGGTATCAAGTTTGTTTGACAAGAACTATTTTTCATAAGACCATGTTGACTGGCATTAATTATGATACCATAATTTAATTCTTTACTGACTGTATCTCATATCAGCGTTTTAATGATTTTGCCCAGGTTCATTATCAGGTTAACCAGCCAATCAATAATTTTCTGGGTCAACTTGTTTACCCTTTTTAAATATGGACACAACATTGGCTTTTGCTTCCTCAGTGTTCCCAGATCTGTTAAAAATCAAGACAAATTTTTCACAGAGCTCCTAGGACAATTCTTTTAATATTCATGGGTTCAATATATCTGGCCCTGCAGATTTAAAAATGTTTAACTTCAACAGTTGGTGGTTAACATCCTCCCTAGACACTGATAAAACAGAATGTATTTCATCATCACACTGAGATATGAGAACACATCATCCTGCTTCTTTTCAAATACAGAACGCCTATATTTATTGAATACCTCTGCCTTTTCTGCATCATAGCTGATAGTTTTACAATTCTTGTCAAGTATTAGACCTATATCACTGGTAGGATTTAATTTGTTCCTGACATATTTAAAGAATTCCTTCTTAGTGTCCTTAACCCTACTGGCCATAGATTTTTCACTGATACCTTTAGCTTTCCTTATCAATTGTCTGTATTTCCTAACTGCTGATTTGTACTCATTGCTATCAGCTTCGCTGCTTTTCCATTATTTTTTACTTCCTCTTTCACCTCCTTTCTTAGCCAGGATGTATTGTTATTGGGTTTTTTTTAACTGAAGTAGTCTTCTTTTGTGATTGAAGAATGTGGGGCTTGGGCATCTAACAAACCATTCTTAAATAATTCCCAGTTATCATTTGTATTTTTATGTTTAAATATTTCCTCTCACTTAATTTTGCTTGTGACTGATTTTGAATCCCAATGAGATAGAGGCAAGCCTGAGAAGACAAGAACAGCATGTGTGACCATATTTAATTAGTTGGGGGGGGGGGAAAGGGTTAAGAGCAACTCATAGAAAAGAGGCAACAGTCTAAAATAACCTACACTGAGAGAAGATCCTGGTATTACAGAGCTTTTTTAAGTTAGTTGACAAAGGCACAAGATCCAACAGCTGGAAGTTGAAATCAGCAAAATTCTAACTGGAAATAAGGCATACATTTTATTGTTGAGGATAATCAGCCACTGAAATCTTTTCACAGGATGTGGTAGATTCTCCAGCACTTGAAGCCTTTAAATCAAGCTTGGATTATCTTTCTACAATATACTCTCTAGTTCAACCACAAATTGCTGGGGTAGATGCAGGAATCGCTGGATGAAATTCTCTGGCCTGTGTTATTCAGGAGGTCAAATGAGATGATCATAATGATCCCTTCTGACCTTAAAAATCTATAAATGTTTTGAATATATGCACAGTCCAGACAGTGTGGCACCACATATTGGCATCACAAGCAAGTGAAACATTGTTGGGGGGGGGCGGAGTATAGAAGAGTACTATCACTCTTTTCCCCAAAGACACACAGCCTGGAGGGAGTGCAGTGGGGGAGGTTTAGATTGGATATTAGGAAAAACTTTTTCACTAAGAGGGTGGTGAAACACTGGAATGCGTTACCTAGGGAGGTGGTAGAATCTCCTTCCTTAGAGGTTTTTAAGGTCAGGCTTGACAAAGCCCTGGCTGGGATGATTTAACTGGGAATTGGTCCTGCTTTGAGCAGGGGGTTGGACTAGATGACCTTCTGGGGTCCCTTCCAACCCTGATATTCTATGATTCTATGATTCTATGAGTCCCACCTTTGGCCAAGAAGGAGGTTTGCTATTACCTTGATGGAAGCTCTGTGAGGAGATTGTAGCTCATATCCAAAACCTCAAGTTTCTTTGCTTCGCAGGCCCAGTCAGGGATACACAGCAGCTGGTTACTGAGAAGAGGAAATGGAAAGCATAAGAGGAGGAGGGACAGCAAGATATCAGAATTCTACTGAACCTATAACCCATCATGTGGAGATTTTGTTGGAACACTCTAGTGATTCTCAAATATAAAATAGCACAAGAGACGAACCCAAAGAAAAAGAAACGACAGTGTAGAATCAGTCACAAACACCAGATCTCATTCAAACTCATTTAAAACAAAACCAGTGAGTGTAGGGCTGGTAAAGACTGCTGATTCATGGCCATGATGTTTTATCCACAGCTATGGCAGGAGCAGGGAAAGCTTCCCTATGCTGGCATGTTGATGCACTTCACCCCAGAGCTTGAGTGAGAGGAGAGGCCAGATTCCATGGTCCATTCAGTCTTTGGTCTCTCTGCTGAGACCTGCCAACAAGGGGGAAATTAGCACTGAACAAGAAGGTAGCCTGCCCACTGGGACCTAGGCTAAGATATCTCCCTTTCCCATATTTTTACATCATGGCCCAATAAACAGCCATTCGTAACAGCTTTCAACTTCTACTGACTGAATGCTGAACTAATGATCAAGAGCTAAAAGGCTGCCAGTCACCTAGTCATGCCAAGCTGGTTTAACGGGGCTTCTAGTCTTGGAAATGTTCATTTTCCTTTCATGCTAATCTGTTCTGTTATGAGGAGATGCTTCACTCTTTTCACCACTCTCTTCTCTTTCAAAAGAACAGCAGTGCTGTACCTTTGCCCACAAGATATGAGAAAGGGGCCAAAGAGAGAGTTGTCCCATAGAATAGAATTCAGCAGACGAACGGCAACCTGCACTCTCTCTCAGAGCACCAACACAGGAAAGCCTGTGTGTTTCAGGAAGCATCCTCAGAAGAATCTTTTGCTCTCACTCCTTTTACCCAGAGGCCTAATCAATCCTAAACTCAGACTGGCATCAGGTTCTACTTTATGTTCATGAAAATCCAGGCAGACTATTTCTATCAAGGAGCTACAGCCATGAACCATAGGTCTCAATCTCACCAAATTAGCCTTGCCAAATCTATTTTCTTTCTATTTTTCTCAGGTGCCTCTATACTAAGGGAAAGTAGAAATTAACAAAATGAGAGAATGTTTTTCTGATAGCATGGGGCGGGGGGGAGTGTCACTTGAGAACTTTGCAGCCTAGATGTGAAACAATTAGAACTGGGCAAAGTCTATGGAGCTAAACTTGCCATAAACCCTAAGAAATTGAGGCAGCCATTAGATTAGATCTCTCAGTAACCAAGTCCCCCTCTCCTGAGACAATTTGGCTGAGAGGGGGAACACAGGGTTGTCTGAGCCCTAACCACATCCAGACCTCATATAGTAACTGACATATTCAAAGCACTTTTCAAACAAAATATTTACCCCTTCCCTGGGAAGGGGAACACTTAATATGAAGTACAAAGAGGTTACTTGCATGTACAGTACTCATGTTCTTAAAGGTGTGTAGCCTGTCTTCATATTCCACAGTTGGTGTTTGCACGCCCAATGCTCATGCGTTAGAAAAATTTCTAGTTAGCAGTGTTGGTTGGCGTGGCGTATGTGCCCTTCATATCCTTGTGCATTCTGGTGAGAGTATAAAGGGCGGAGTCATGTAACTACATCCAGTTCCTTTGCCATCTTTAGTGGTTTGTGAAGACTCTGAAGTAGCGAGGATGGCAGGTGTGTGATGAAATACATATACAGACTACACATCTCAAAGAACCTCAGTTACTGTACAGGCAAGTAGCCTCTTTTCTTCTTCGAGTGGTAGCCTGTATACCTGATGACTCTCAGCTGATGACTCTCACTGGAGTCAGAAATGAGGAGCTTATGCAAACGGAGACTACAGCACAGTCCTTCTCAAAGTGGATGAGATTCTCCAATTGGACCTGCCAGCACCACATTTCCAGGCTATGTGGGAATAACTATACCAGTGGAAACTGGTCTCTTGCTGAGAGTTCATTTGGCTGCCATATCAGTCATCCATCCACTAAGTGATCAATCAGTATTTTCACACTCAATGGCAAACAGATTCCTGAGAGGCATTTCTAGACTGTCCATCATTTAGGGATCCACTCCCTATGCGGGATCTTTACTTAGCTCTCTCAAAAGTCATGGATGCTCCCTTTAAGCCTATGGTCATGTGTCCCCTGTGAGGTATGGCACATTATAACCATTGTTGCCATGGGCCTGGGGACCATATCCACAGCGTCCAATGCTGCCCATAGAGCTGTCTTGGCAACCAATTGCCCATCAGGATGACTTAGAACTCACTTCTGAATTCCTGCAGCAGTTTGTCAATAAAACATTCCATGGAACACCAGTCAAGGTAGTCATATTTTGCTAGGATTGCTTGATAGTTCAATATTCTTATTTGGTGGTTCAAGGTTGAGTACAATTTCCTACCAAGAAAGTCTAGGCTCCTTATCCTTGCAGCGAAATTCTGGTAGCCGTGGCACATTCTCTCATTTGCCACAGTCACTACGAGTGATCCCTGTATCAGGTATGAATAGGCCAGCATCTGGTACTATCTATCAGCCTACTTTGAGGTTGGTGCTAATGATGCTGGTGTCTGCCACAGGGTCTTCACAGAATCTAGTAGGTCCTTGTTTATCATGATTGCTACACAACATGGTATCGATATATGTAATATATTGAGCAGCCTGTGCAGTGTGTCATGTACTTCTTTGGTGGGAATCTCTATAGTTGTTGGTATATGCCTCATCAAGTCCTGGATGATTTATGGTCTTCTGGAGTGGCCATCACTTGATGTGATATCAGGGTCTCGTTGAGTGATTACAAAGACAAATTAGCTGGTACCAGCTACTCTGGGTTTTGTGGTTGTAGCATGGGAAAAGGCGGCTGCTGTCTGTGGTTCTGAACTCCAGGTGGGGTTAGTACTGTACTCAGGATTAGTACTGTACTCATGCCTTGGCCAGAGGTGGGTATCCTTCTCTCATACAGGAGAAAATGATAGAACAGAGTCCTGGAACCTGGTTAGGGGCAGTTGCCGGCTCCCTTCTGAGGCTGAGGAGAAGAACATATGAACAGCCATACTGGGTCAGACCTATGGTCCACCTAGCCCAGTATCTTGTCTTCTGACAGTGGCCGGTGCCAGATGCTTTGGAGAGAATGAACAGAACAGGGCAATTATCAAATGATCCATCCTGTCATCCACTCCCAGATTCTGGCAGTTGGAGGTTAGGAACATCCTGAGCACGTGTGCCATGATGGACCTATCCTCCATGAACTTATCTACTTTTTTTTAGAACCCAGTTATACTTGAGGCCCTGGCAATGAATTCCACAGGTTGACTGTGTGGTGAGTGAAGAAGTACTTCCTTATATTTGTTTTAAACCTGCTGCCTATTAATTTCATTGGCTTACCCTGGTTCTTGTGCTATGTGAATGAGGATGAGAAGTAGTTTTCTTCTGTAAGAGTGTGTGCCCTCCCAGTAGGTGCTGAAGGTACCGACCTAGCTGGCCCTGAGGATCATGGAGGCAACAGTGCTGATACTGTTGGTTCCAGGAACTGGGACAGCATCAGTGAGGAGGGCCATATCAAAAGTCCAGGTAAATCCCTAGAGGTGCTTCCTAGAAGATGAGAAGGATTTTAAGGGTACCTTGGAAAATTTTGAAGAGGCCACCAGCACTGACTTTTATGACCTTCAGTCCCCAGAGATTCTCAATGTCTGGAAGCCGGGATCAGAGTCTCAGCACAGAGACTGCTCCAACAGGAAGGCCCTCAGGTGGGACTCCATCAACTGCTGGGTCCGCTTTGAGAAGGCATAAAGATTTTGCAATGATCTGAAACGTGTCCCTTGCTGAAATGGAAAAGACCCCTTGCATGATGGTCATTCGGGAGATAATGGCCTTATATGAGGGGCAGCTCTTAAAGTCTGAGGACTTGTGGTCTCCCCTGCAGGCAATTGGTACCAAACACTCAGTGACAGAGAAGTCCTTTCTTCGCTGAAGAACCCAAGTTCAGGAAAAGTAAAAACCTAACACTATTACTAACTGCCAGCTATAAGAACTATGCACAATGAGAAACAGGTATGTTTGCTCCAAAAGTGAGCTGCTCTGACCCTTGCCACAAGCAGTAAGAATGAACTGGGTGTGGTTGGATAGCTCCATCTTTTATATTCTTCCTGGAACAAATGGGGATGTGAAGGAAGCTTGTACCAACCCTAATGGATGAATAGAAAGTTGAGATGAGCACACTGGACAAGCAAACACCAACTGTTGAATATTTATACATACTATCACTCAAAGAAGAACTATATCCCTCCCATTTCCTCTAAAACAGAGGTGGGCAAACTATGGCCCACGGGCCACATCCAGCCCGCAGGACCGTCCTTTCCAGACCTTGAGCTCCCGGCTGGGGAGGCTAGCGCCCAGCCCCTCCCCTGCTGTTCCCCCTGCCCCGCAGCCATGCTGCTGCACAGGCAGCGAGGCTCGCACCCGCCCACGTCCCAGGCTTTCCAATAAGCCAGTCCTGCTGCTCTGAGCAGCATGGTAAGGTGGCGGGGAGCGGGGGTGGTTAGATAAGGGGCAGGAGGTCCCGGGGGGGAAGTCAAGGGACGGGGAGCAGGGGGCGGTCGGATGGGGCAGAGGTTCAGCGGAGGGGGCGGTTGTGAGGGTAAAGGGGGGGTTGGATAGGGAGTGGGGTACTAGGGGGCCTGTCAGGGGGCAGGGGTGTGGATAGGGGTCGGGGCAGTCAGGGGACAGGGAACAGCAGGGGTTGGCTAGGGAGTGGGGTCCCGGGGGGTGGTTAGGGGCAGGGGAGTCCTGGGAGGGGGCGGTCAGAGGACAAGGAGCAGGGGGCATTGGATGTGTCAGAGGTTCTGGGGGTGGTGGTCAGGGAATGGGGAACGGGGGGGGGTTGGATAGGCGTGGGAGTCCTGGGGGGCCTGTTAGGGGGCGGGGGTGTGGATAGGGGTTGGGGCAGTCAGGGGACGGGGAGCAGAGGTGGTTAGGGGCGGGAGGTCCCAGGAGGAGGCGGTCAGGGGGCCAGGCTGTTTGGTGAGGCACAGCCTTTCCTACCTGGCCCTCAATACAGTTTCGCACCCCGATGTGGCCCTCGGGCCAAAATGTTTGCCCACCCCTGCTCTAGAAGGCAGGAAAAGGAATATTTGGACATTCTAGAAGTTGCTTCATGAACTCAGAGAAATCAGCTGATGAACTGAAAGCTCCCAACACCATCAGGAAATGGGACTAAGGGCTTGTCTACATGGGAAAGGTATACTGGTAAAAGCTACAGTATGAATTAAACTGATAGTTATACTGGTATAACTCCTCCTGTGGACACACTTACTCCAGTACCAGAATGCCTTTTTGCAGTATAGCTAATATTGTTTTGGAAGAGGTTTAAAGTAAACAGAAAAAACCCACTCTCATTCTGAAAGAGAAATCCCTGATAGGCAGTTATAGTGGTATGCATACTGGTTTAATTATACCAGCATACTGACAAAACTTTCCTGTACAACAAGCCCACTCCACTCACTGCTGTGTTTAACTCCAGAAGCATATTCACCTCCTACATGAACAGAGCTTCAAAGGCACGAAAACTCAGGCATTGGAATTTATGTTGACCCCTTGAATTGTAGTAGAATTCCCATGGAAGCCAACATGCACATGGGGGAAGGGCATGCTATGGGGCTGAGCTCTAAGGAACAAAGATTTCTCTTCTGAAGGCAAGTTTTGGGGATGGAAAAGGCCTGAAATAACAAAATGGCATTTAAAATGAACAGTCAACTGAATGGACAGAAAAATCCAACTAAGCATCCTTTCCGGGATACAAGAGCAGAAGTCTTTGAAGAGACAGATCCCGTGCAACAGTGGCAGTCACTACATAAAGATCTCTGATAGATCCATGCAAAACTCAGATTTGATAAGGAGTACTTCTGGCACCTTAGAGACTAACCAATTTATTTGAGCATAAGCTTTCGTGAGCTACAGCTCACTTCATCGGATGCATACTGTGGAAACATACTGTGGATGCATCCGATGAAGCGAGCTGTAGCTCACGAAAGCTTATGCTCAAATAAATTGGTTAGTCTCTAAGGTGCCACAAGTCCTCCTTTTCTTTTTGCGAATACAGACTAACACGGCTGTTACTCTGAAACCTGTCAGATTTGATAGTGATCAAGTTTCTCCTTGTAATTTCCCAAGAAGCCTAGAGAGAGTGCCTGTGTCATTCAATACACGCGGCCCAGGACTTGGATTCCAGAGAATCTGCAGGAAGTGGTCCAGGCCCCCCAGGATTTCACTTTGTATTCTTTTGTGTGTCACCACTTACCGGGAGATTTCTAGGCAGGTCAGCAGACTAGGGACTGGATAAACATTTACAGTCATCAGACCTGATCAAATAAAGGAAACAGTAATGAGTCCAGGCTGCTAGAAGGGGAACAACAGAGACACAAACTGTTTCCCAGAAATATACTAGGATAGATATCAAGTGTCAACCCTTCAGGATGACCAGATAGGGCTGGAAAATCTCTAGTGCTCAGACAGACATTTGTTGCAACTGCAGACAGGAAAAGCCCATGGTATGAAGAGCCAGGCTGCAGTTCTTCTCTCCTCAGGTATCAGAACTACATATTTCTCTAAAACTGTGTTCCAAGAGATTATTATTTCTACTGCGGTGGTTATAGGATTCTTGTCTCTAGTATGATGCAGTGCAGCACAAAGGGCAGCAAGAGAACTGTTCTCACTCACAGGAACAGCAGAAAAATGAGAATAACTTGAGAGCATAGATCATTTAATCAAAGGACCAGAGGCAGGATTGCTCTGGACGGCTAGTGAACATGGCAAAACAAAAATGATCATTCTTGTTACAACCCAACATCAGTACTTTCAACAACAATGCCACAGACTAAAGTGAGAATCTGCACGGACATCCTTCCATTTGTAACACTTATTATAAGATGCTACTGAAATGCACTTCCATGTCCTTTTCTCCCTGTGAAAAGCATGATGAACTAGAGGGAAGGGTCAGTGAGTTCTACAAGTCAGGAAAGTTCACTTTGCTGCAAGAGGCTGTACTCATTGGAAGGCTCATCAGCCTAGGCAAATGAGGCACAGCCTAACTAAAATACTGAGAAGCTAATTCCCAAAAGCTACATTTTTGTATATATAGAGAGATGCTTAAGGACAGCTAAGCATGTTCATTGATAGTAACAAAAGTCTACAAGAAGGTCTTATAATTTGATTTAAATTTGTCACATTACTCTCTCCATATCCACACTGAAACAATGCCAGAAAATGTAGAGCGGCAGGTGAGGTTCAAACCATGATACAGGTGTTGGTGCCTCAGGAAGCTGCCTCATTACCATGGCAACTTACAATGCACAGGAGTCACTTTATGAGGGTGTTGCAGGGGTAATCATGGCTTGGTGAGGCCACGGCAGGACTGCAGCAATTAAGGTAACTTCTGACAGTGGGGCTGCAGGGGGATCCCTCCCAGCACTGACACAGCAGAGGGGGCTCCCTGCATGGCAGAGGGGCCCAAGACACTAGGGCACAGGGGAGGCTGCAGTCATCCTGGCCAGGACACCAACCAGGATGACAAGCCCCCAGCCACTGGGGAAGCCACCCTGTTGCTCAACAGTTCCTGCCCAGGGACAGCTCCTACACTCCTGGCTGGTGAGCAAGGGAGCGGGGCTGTGACAGCAAAGCTGCAAAGGGCTTGTGGCATCGCCATGGGGCCAATGACACGGGATCCCTGCAAGCACAAGGGAGAGACTGCGATAGTCTGACAGGGCAGAGTAGACACGTCCGATCATGACTACAAGGACGACGATGTATACTGGAATTTGTGAGACTTTCTGATAAGTGCTTCACTTGTGAAAAAAGTCACCAGCTGCCACTGGTTGCCACATAGATCATGCTCACACCAAAGCTACTACAAGGGATTAAACCAGACTTCCAGAGCCCCCTTCAAACCTAGGAGTAAGACAGTATAGATCCCAGAAATATGTGGCTGCTATGCGTAAAGTGAGCTGCTGCTGTTCTGTATGGAAACTACAAAGACTCCTGTTTTTCAACCCAGATGCAGCAAAGGGACTCAGCTAGATTTAGTATGAAGCATCCAGCTGCACATTTGGCAACGTTACTGAAACAAGACATCCCTGGCAGCAAGAAATAATGGCTATACAGGTGTCCAGTGGGGATAACAGATATCATTAAGATCCTAAAAACTGCACCTCTTGTTTTATAAGTTTAAAAACTGAAAGCTGGGCATGTGCCCATGCAGCCACATGTTCCCATGTCTGTTACTCTTAGCCTCCTTCTCCTTCTGTTTGTTACACACACTTGATTGGATAACCTTAACTGAGATGGCAGACTCTTTAGGGAAGAGACAGCCTCTTACTCTGTCTGTGAAGCACTTTGCAAAATGGGGTGTTGATCTGATTGAATATTACTGTAATACAAGTAAATAAAATACTACACCAACAGTACTAATACGGAGAGGAGAGGCCCTTTCCGGATCAAACAGAGGATGCAGAACAAGCTTCTGTGGGATAACCCCTTGGGCTGCTACAGTTTCCATCTTTGAAGTGGCTATTGCTCCACAGGATATTGAGAGTAGGGCTGAACTCTAGGGAGCCGCCAACCTGTGTTTGGAGTAGCTATGTTTCGATGGGGGGGGGGGGATGACAGAAGGGCTCTCCCTGGGTCTGGGGAGGGAGCAGGCAGGTGAAGGAGATAAAATGGACATACAGTTGGTGTTGGCATAGAGTGCCCGAAGGGAGAAGCCACTCAGAGTCAGTTCCGTCAGTTGATTCCGCTCACAGTGCAGCTGCTCCAGACTGCCAAGGAAGCTCAGATCCAGGTCAGTCAGCCGATTGTCTCGCAAATCCATGTGGGTCACAGATTTGTTCCCCTCCAGGCTGTCAACAGATAATCTCCACAGGTGGTTCAGCCTAAACACTCAGAGATAAGAGATAAAGGATCAGAGAAAAGAACACTGAAAGGTTTTCTATTTTGGGGGGGAGGTGGGGACAGAGTGAAATGATGGCAGGAGGGAGAAGTGGGAAACAGACAGGCTGGAGACTGCACCGAAAGGAGGGATGTGGGGGAGTCTGGAGACCAAACCCAGGATAGAGGACTGGGGGGTGAGTGAGGTAGAGGAAGGGTTCTGGTGAAGGGGGATTTTCTGGGAGGGGTACAGACAGAAGCAGTCCCTATGTCTGTTCACCCACTATTCATTGTTGAATTAAATATTATTGGCTCTACTCAGTTTTTGAACACCTTTAACAGTCAGGAGATGCTGAGGGCAGCTTCCAGAGGCTAGCAGACGGAAGGCCTGGTTCTGGGACAGAGAGCAGTATTGTGCGTGGTCACACAGGAACCTGGGAAGGCACTTGCCATACATGTTAATTCAGCTATAAGATTTTTATGTCTCTTAGATTTTTATGTCTTTTATGATCAGAAGTCTCACTATATTTTCTAAGGATGAAGCAGACCATTGCTGCAGGAATTTACAGGCTAGAAATCAGTAACTGTCTCATCTCCAGAGAAGCAAGTGAGGCAAAGCCAGGAGAGCTGGTGAGTTCCCTACTAAGGAGTAGCAGAGCAGCAGCGCTGAACACCAGAGGACTGGTCAGTGCTCTGTGACCTCAGCCACAGAACAGTTAGCCTGCCTTTCTCTTAAATACCCTCCGAAGTGGAATTTCCCAAGCTCTGAAAATATCAGTAAGAACACAACCACCCAGGATGCCTCCTAAGACATGCTAGAGCAATTATACAGCTTCCTTTGCTGGAAGTGGGGTTGAGGAACACTCTTGCTGATGGAATGTTCAAGCAGCTAGAGTCCACTTACCTAAGATCCACATATCTGATGTGGCTCATCCTGTTCAGCATCCCAAGGTTCAGGGTTTCCAGCTGGTTCCCTGCCATGGCCAGTTTGTCCAAGGCAGTGAGTTTCTCACAGACCACTGGCACCTCACTGAAGTTGTTGAAGGAAAGCCCGAGAGAGCAGAGCTGCTGCAGGTTTCCCAACTCTTCTGGCAAAGATGTGAGGAAATTCCCATCAAGACATAAGATCTGGAGACTGTGGCAGGCAAAGGGAAAAAGGGAAACATTCAGGGATGGAGAATTGAGTCACCTGTTTAACATTGTCAGTGAATTTATACACTGGCTAATTACAGCTTGATTATTATTTCCAGTAGCTAACTGTGACTTGTTTCTAGAGTTGTAAGGTTATTACATGATTATTTATTATTCAGCTAATATGCTTGTGTTCTAAGCTCACTTCATCGGATGCAATGAAGTGAGCTGTAGCTCACGAAAGCTCATGCTCAAATAAATTGGTTAGTCTCTAAGGTGCCACAAGTACTCCTTTTCTTTTTGTGTAATTACTTTGTAACTGTAAAGTATAACTATAGAGTACTGTAGAGTATTTATTTGACAGGCAAGATGGGTGAGGTAACATTATTGGACCAACTTCTACTGGTGAAAGAGATAAGTTTTAAGAGCTTACACAGAGCTCTTCTTCAGCTCTGGGAAAGGTTCTCAGAAGCCATGTCTACACTAAACAGTTTTGTCAACAAAAGTCAGCTTTTGTCAACAAAACAGTGGAGGTGTAGACACTGCAATGCTCCTCCTGCCAATTTAACTCTCCTGCTATGCCGACATAATAAAAGCACCTGGACAAGAAGCATAGAGCTTTTTGCAATGAAGTTAGTGTAAACACTGCGTTGCTTATGTCACCCTAAGTGGCCTCCAGGTAGTATCCCACAATGTCCATCATGACCGCTCTTGTTTGAACTCCGCTGCTCTGCAGCCAAGTACATAAGCATGCGTCCCTCCCCACTGAAAGCCCCAGAACTTTTGAAATTCCTCTTCCTGTTTGCTCAATATAGACAGCTCACATAGCATTGTCCCAGCTGAAAATGGTGGGTACCTGCAGCAAACACGCTCCCGCCTGAGTACACTGGAGTTGTCAGATCTGTGCGGAGAGGAGGCTGTGCAGTTGCAGCTCTGCTCCAGCCATAGGAATTTTGATACATATGGGCAAATTACTTGTGGCATGGAGCTTAAGGGGTACGAGAAGGACACGCAGCAGTGCTGTGCAAAGATCAAGGAGCTGAGGCAGGGTGTATCAGAAGGCAAGTGAGGCCAATCACCAATCTGGTGCGTTGCCAAAGACATGCCACTTCTACAAGTAGCTGCATGCCATCCTCAGCAACCCCACCTCCACCATCAAGACCCTTGTGGATACTTTGGGGAAGCTGGAAGCAGCAGAGTGAATCCTGAGGATGAAGTGGTAGACAAGGAAGTGGAGTTGGAGGAAGATGGGGGACAGGCAACAGAGATGTCTGAGGGCGTGGCAAGCCAGGATCTCTTTTTAACTCCAGAGGGGTTTAGGCAGCCCCAGCACTCTGGCATGCCTCATGCGGAAGAGGGGAGCTCCAGTAAATACTCATTGTACTTTGATACTGTAGGGAGAAATGAGGTAGAGCTAGATTTTTTTTTCCAAAGGATAGAAGAGGAATAGAAATAACCAACAGTAGCACTTTTTGCATCTGCTTCTCATCTCCCTGTGAACCTAGACAGAGGGGACCCGACAGAAAAGTTTGTTGATGCACACTGGGATGTGCCAGCAATTCTCCATACTGATCTCTAGGAAACTTTCATGGAGGTATTCTGCAATCCTCTGCCAAAGGTTCCTTGAGAGGGCTACCTTATTTCTTCCCCTGCAATAACTTTGCTGTGCTAATCGGCAATTACTTCTACAGGCGCCAAAGCAGCACACAGGTGAGCAGCATACAGTCTCAGCCTGCAGCTGCACCCATGCAGGACTGCACGCTTGCATCCCTGGTCACCCTGAGGAGCGAGATATCAGCTTCTATCACCACTGCCTTTGGAAAACGGTGCCAGTAATCAGAATAGTGTCCCTAGACATTTGTAGTCACCTCACTCTGAAACCCACCCGCCCTTTGTCCCATCTTGCCTCTTTCCCCCTGTGCCAAACCCACCATGGTTAGGGCTCTCGCTGTGCTGTGTGCCTGTTATAGGAAAGTGAGAAAGTGGTATAACTTGAAAGGAAACAAGGCTGTGAGTGCACTCATAAAAGTGCTTCCGTTTATTGTTTCTTTAGCTTTTTCAGATGCATCCTTGAGGGTCTACTCCTGCACACCAGCTGAACGGCACTGTCTGATAAGGACATGAACAGGAGGAGTAAGGAAGACATGTCCAGGGAGGTGCTGCAGTCGTCTGATGCTGCTGATAGCAAGCGGAGAGCATTGAGAGAGGCTATCAATGAAAAATTGAGAATGGATAGCCAGGAGAGGAAACGGACTGGAGTGGAGGATACAGCTGCTTGAGGGCCAACTGGACTTGCTGAAGTCCTTGATTGTGCTGCAGGTGGAACACATCCATGCTTGTCTCCCCCTGCAACCCAAACAGAAACGCCTTTTATGCCTTCCCCAAACTCCCCCCACACCCCATTCTTCGCGTGTTCCTGGTCCATCGCAGTAGTCAATGCACTCCACCCAGGAACATGTTTCACAATGACAGCTGGACATACACCCAGCTGTAAAAGCATCATTGTAAAAAGTGCTCTTCATTGTCATGTCTCTTGTAGGTAATAGAAATATTTGTATAGCTGTTAAATAAAAGTATACGTATAGAAAGAAAATGAATCTTTATTGATCTACTGCACATGGTGGTTGCTGCTGAAATTAATACATAACAGTAATCACTGCATTTGCAAAGTAAAATTAATGCATACACAGCAATCATTATAAGGCTCACATTACAGTGCAAGAAAGCAATGCCTGGCTCAATTCATTAGAGAAAGTCATATTACTGGGGCACATTGTCAAAATTCTCCTTCAAAGCATTCTTGATTTGAACAGCTCCCTGTTGAGCCCCTCTAACAGCCCTGGTATGTGGCTGCTCAAAAGCAGCTTCCAACCAATCCATCTCAAGCCTCCACCCCCTACGGAAACTTTTCCCCCTTGTTTCACAAGTGTTATGCAGAGCACAGCAGGCTGCTGTGACCATGGGAATATTTTCCTCACTGAGGTCTAACCTGCCAATAGTGCCAGGAACCCTTTAATCTGCCAAAGGCACGTTCAATGGTCATTCTGCATCTGCTGAGTCTGTTGTTGAAGCGCTCCTTGCTACAGTCAAGGTTTCCGGTGTAAGGCTTCATAAGCTACGGGAGCAAGAGGTAGGCTAGGTCTCCCAGATCACAATTGGCATTTCCACTTCCCCAATTACAATCTTCTGGTCTGGAAAGAAAGTCCCTGCTTACAGCTTTCTATGCAGCCCAGTGTTCCTGAAGATGCATGCATCATGCACCTTCCCTGACCACCCTGCGCTGAGGTTGGTGAAACAACCTGGTGATCCACCAGCGCTTGCAATACCCTAGAAAAGTAGCCCTTTCTGTTGATGTATTCCATCGCAAAGTGGTCTGAGGCCAAAATGGGGATATGCATGCCATCTATTGCCCCAAAGCCATCCACTATTTCCCACACATTGCCCAGAGTTACAGTCCTTTGTAATAGGAGGCAACTAATGACCCTGTACACTTGCATTACTGCAACCCCCACAATGGACTTTCCACCTCCAAACTGCTTCAAAACTGAACAGTAGCAGTCTGAAGCACTGCTCTCTCTGTCAATGCAAGAGCACCAGCTGTGGATGCACTCCTCCAACACAATGAGTGTTCCCTGGACATGCAAAAGTGGTTTAATTACAGCAATGGATGATCGCCGACCTAATTTAAGTTAACTTAACTTTGTAGTGCAATCATAGCCAGAGTGTCACAGAGTGGCACAGAGTATTTAGCATAAGTAGTTACCGCATATTGTAAAAGCCCTTTCCAGGTGAAGTGGCAAGTTAACACCTCCACAGTCACAGGACATAGCGAGTTACAGATTGTTGTAATAAGCCATAAATCCAGTGTCTTTATTAAGACCATGATTGTTAGGGTCTAGTAAAGTTATGAATGTAAGCTCCCAGGCTTGGCTTTGAAAGTGATTGTGACAGGGCATCACCCCACTCCTGCCTCTTTTCTAGCCACACACCACTCAAAGACCTACTTCTGGCCAAACACCCTTTGTGCAATTTATTTACAGTGTTCTCTCCTCCACCCTTACAAACTTGTGCAACTCTGTATTTCCAATAGTATATACTCCTTAGGTATCATCCCACTGAGAGATCTCTCCTGGCTCTGACTCTTCAAAAGTGAAATCCCTGCAAGCTGCATGGAAACTTTTTAAAGACACCATAACAGAGGCTCAATTTAAATTTATACCTCAATTTAAAAAATATAATAAGAGGACCCAAAGATTTCACCGTGGCTAAAAAACAAAGTAAAGGAAGCAGTTAGAGACAAAAAAGACATCCTTTAAAAAGTGGAAGTTAAATCTTACTGAGGAAAATAGAAAGGCATATAGACTCTGGCAAGTGAAGTGTAAAAATATAATTAGGAAGGCCAAAAAAAGATATTGGAAGAACAGCTGGGGTGGCCAACCTGAGCCTGAGAAGGAGCCAGAATTTAACAGTGTACATTGCCAAAGAGCCACAGTAATATGTCTGCAGCCCCCCATCAGCTGCCCCACCCCGCTCCCAGCATCTCCCACCCACCAGCAGCCCCGCCAATCAGTGCCTCCCCCTCCCTACCAATCAGCTGTTTCGTGGCGTGCAGGAGGCTCGGAGGGGAAGGAGGGAGGGCACTGCAGGCTCAGGGGAGGGGACAGGGCCTGTGGCTGAGCCAGGGGTTGAGCAGTGAAAACCTCCGGCACACTGAAAAGTTGACGCCTGTAGCTCCAGCCCCGGAGTCGGTGCCTATACAAGGAGCTGCATATTAACTTCTGAAAAGCCACATGTGGCTCCGGAGCCACAGGTTGGCCACTCCTGAGCTAGTCAAAGACTCAAAAAGTAACAGCAATTTTTTTTAAGTACATCAGAAGCAGGAAGCCTGCTAAAGAACCAGTGGGGCCACTGGACAATCAAGATGCTAAAGAAGCACTCAAGGAAAATAAGTCCATTGCGGAGAAACTAAATGAATTATTTGCATCAGTCTTCACAGCTGAGGATGTGAGGGAGAGTCCCAAACCTGAGCCATTCTTTTTAGGTGACAAATCTGAGGAACTGTCCCAAACTGAGGTGTCATTACAGGAGGTTTTGGAACAAATTGATAAACGAAACAGTAATAAGTTACCAGGATCAGATGGTATTCACCCAAGAGTTCTGAAGGAACTCAAATGTGAAATTGCAGAATTAATAACTGTAGTATGTAACCTATCATTTAAATCAGCTTCTGTACCAGAAGACTGGAGGATAACTAATGTGAAACCAATTTTTAAAAAAGGCTCCAGAGGCAATCTAAGCAATTACAAGCAGGTAAACCTAACGTCAGTACCAGGCAAATTGGTTGAAACTATAGTAATGAATACAATTTTCAGAAACATAGATGAACGAAATTTTTTGGGGAAGAGTCAACATTGTTTCTGTAAAGCGAAATCATGCCCCCGCAATCTATAATTCTTTGAAGGGGTCAACGAGCACAAGCACAAGGGTAATCCAGCGGATATAGCATACTTAGATTTTCAGAAAGCCTTTGACAAGGTCCCTCACCAAAGACTCTTAAACAAAGTAAGCTGTCATGGGATAAGAGGGAAGGTGCTCTCATGGATCAATAACTGGTTAAAAGATAAGAAACAAAGGGTAGGAATAAACAGTCAGTTTTCAGAATGGAGACAGGTAAATAGTGGTGTCCCGCATGGGTCTGTACTGGGACCAGTATTGTTCAACATATTCATAAATGATTTGGGAAAAGGGGTAAAAAGTGATGTGGCAAAATTTGCAGATGATATAAAACTACTCAAGATAGTTAAGTCCAAAGCAGACTGCGAAAAGTTGCAAAGGGATCTCATTAAATTGGGTGATTGGGCAACAAAATGGCAGATGAAATTCAATGTTGATAAATGCAAAGTAATGCACACTAGAAAACATAAGCCCAGCTATGCACATAAAATGATGAGGGCTGAATTAGCTGTTACCACTCAAGAGAGAGAGATCATGGAATCACTGTGGATAGTTAATCTGAAAAAATCCACTCAATGTGCAGTGGCAATCAAAAAACCTAAAAGAATGTTGGGAATCATTTAAAAAGGGATAGATAATAAGACAGAAAATATCATATTGCCTCTATAAAAATCCATGGTATGCCCACATCGTGAATATTGTGTTCAGATCTGGTCACCCCCTCTCAAAAAATATATACTGGAATTGGAAAAGGTACAGAAAAGGGTGGAACAGCTTTCATATGAGGAAAATTAATAAGACTGGGACTTTTTGGTTTGGAAAAGAAACAACTTAAGGGGGGATATGATAGAGGTCTATAAAATCATGACTGGTGTGCAGAAAGTAAATAAGGAAGTGTTATTTACTCCTTCTCATAACACAAGAACAAGGGGTCACCAAATGTAATTAATAGGCAGCAGGTCTAAAACAAACAAAAGGAAGCATATTTCTTCACACAACAGTCAACCTGTAGAACTCAAGTGCTAGGGGATGTTGTGATGGCCAAGACTATAATAGGGTTAAAAAAGATTTCAGAGTAACAGCCGTGTTAGTCTGTATTCGCAAGAAGAAAAGGAGTACTTGTGGCACCTTAGAGACTAACCAATTTATTTGAGCATAAGCTTTTCGTGTGCATCCGATGAAGTGAGCTGTAGCTCACGAAAGCTTATGCTCAAATAAATTGGTTAGTCTCTAAGGTGCCACAAGTACTCCTTTTCTTTTAGGGTTAAAAAAAGAACTAGATAAGTTAATGGAGCCTAGGTCCATCAATGGCTATTAGTCAGGATGGGCAAGGATGCCAAACATGTTCTGAGGTGTCCCTAACCTGTTTGCCAGAAGCTGGGAATGGGCGACAGGGGCTGGATCACTTGATGATTACCCGTTCTGTTCACTCTCTCTGAAGCACCTTTACCACTGTTGGAAGATAGAATACGGGGCAAGATGGACCACAGGTCTGACCCAGTATTGCTCTTCTTATGTTCTAAGCTTCTCAGTCTCTTCCCCCCACTTGGCACTTCCTTTCTGTACCTTTTCTACTTTTGGGGTTAATTAGCCTTGTAGCTCTCTCCAGTCCATCCCCAATCGCTCAACTGGACACAGTTTTGCCCCTCAGGTTTACCCCAGGGTGATTTAATTAACAGTTATCAGACTGTTGGTACAGCTACTGTTGCCCAGCACTGTCACATTTACTCTGAAGGTTTCCTTTAAGGATGAGGACTGACAGGTCAGATACGAAGTGATTGCTTTGTGAAAACAGTTCACCCACAGGTGATCTGGTGTTTTTGTCTTTCAGCATAGTGATTGTTTCATTTCACCCACACACTTGTTAATGGGGTATTTAATGCACTGGATAAGGTACACCACACATTGTGATAGGCAAGTGCAGGACCCATGTATCTTGAAAGGTGTATTGTGTTGATCATCATAGCAGTGGAGATACGCCTACAGGTTTTGCATCTCTTGTTATGGCAGAATTTGGTGCTGCTTTGAGTTGGTGTGTCCTGGTCAGTGCGGAGCTTTCTTCTGATGATGACAACTAAGTCTACCAATGTTAGGTCGACGTACAGCCACTGCAGTAATTACTGCTATTTTTCATGTCCACACTACCCTCCTTCTGTCGGTGGTGTGCATGCTCACCAGGAGCGCTTGCCCCAACTTATGGGGGACAGTGTGTGGGGCTGAGAGGCCAGGCTCCCAGTGCCAGGCTGAGAGACCAGGCTCCCAGCTGGGAGCTTGGTGCCAAGTTGACAGGCGATGTAAGTAACACAATGTCTACACAAACATTGCGTCACTCTAACTATATCAACCTCAGTGCTGCAACTCTTGTGTAGGTAGAGTAATTAAGTCGTTGTAGTGAGGGACTTACATGGGAAGGAGCAACACTGTAGTGTAGACACTTAAAAGGTTAGGTCGATGTAAGCTGCCTTATATTGACCTAACTCTGTAATGTAGACCCGGCCATATTTATAGTGGAAAACAATAAGAAGTTTATCATCAAAAATTCAAGCGATAGTGAGTAAGTGGAAGCAAAGAGTTACATATACAACAAAACAACAAAAGCTTTCTAGAAACTGAACTTAACTAACAAGCTAGCTTTCTGTCTAAAGTTTACCTCACCACCAAAGTTATCTGCAGCATTTTCAGCCACCGTTTGGTGAGATGCCATTTTCATGAATGTAAACGCACTGCTTGTTTACTTCCTGGGTCCAGAATAAGAGGGTGTATTCTTTACCTTCTACCTATACTCCCCATAGTTCATTGCCTGTATTCAGAGACTGTATAACCACCTGTAACTTGTTTTTCCTGTGTGCTCCTTCCCTGCTGACTTCATGTCTCTTTGACAACTTTGCATGTAAATGGGCATCCATTTATAATGCTTAATTTACTCTTGTCTGACAGAAAACCTTTTTTTCACTCCTGCTAGTGATTCACTCCTTAATACAGACTCTAAGAATATATTTTCAGTGTATATATACACAACTCCTTACACAGTATCTGTACATACATTTCACAACTAGGTTAATAACCAGTGTGATCCTGGCTTTCATGTAAGCCTTCACATAACATCTTTTGGTGCACCAGAATGTACGTACCAGAATCAGGACATTTCTGTAACACACTGGTCAGCTGGCATTAAGGGCTCCTTGGGTCATATTGTGAAAGGCACTCTTGAGCTCTCAGTAAGGGTCACAGAGCAAGAGGGCCTGTCTCACCAGTGATGCCTTTACTCTGTCTGCACTCAAACCAAGACAGAGGGCAAGTCTATAACCACAGATGAAAGGTGTTTAAGGGCCAAGACAAAAGTCACATAACTCACTTGAACAGGTTGCCAATCTGGCTTGGCAGGTGATGAAGCCCATTACAGGAAATGTTGAGTTCAGTCAGAGTGGAGATCTCACACAGCAATATAGGAAGCTCCCCCAGCATATTATGGGACAGGTTCAGGCCCTTCAGCTGAGAGAACCTAAATGTCAAGTGTACAAATTATTCATAAAGCACAGTGGTTAGTGACAAATACACGTACAAGGGCAAGCACAAAGATTGTCTGAAGTAGTCCAAGTTCTTTCATAAATATGGTACCCCCTCTTCTCAAACCAGTTATAGCATGGCATTTCCTGCACCAAACAGACTATAATCCATCAATAATATATACCTAAGGCCCGGACCGGCTCTAGGATATTTGCTGCCCAAAGAAAAAAAATTTTTGGCTGCCCCCGCTTTTTTTTCATGCCCTCCCTGTCCCTGGCTCCATCCCAACTCTGCCCCTTCCCAACCCCTTCCCCAAATCCCCGGCCCCGCCTCCTCCTCCGGGCGTGCTGCATTCCTCCCCCCGCACTGCTTCCTGCGGCTCCCCCCCACCCCCTGCCCTAGCTCACCTCCGCTCTGCTTGCTCCCCTGAACACGCCGCTGCTCCGCTTCTCCCACCTCCGTCTCAGGCGAGGGAGAGGCAGCGTGTTCAGGGGAGCAGGCAGAGTGGAGGTGAGTGAGGGTGGGTGGGGGAGCACAGGACGTAACGGGGCGGGGGTAGAAGAACCGCTCCCTACCCCAGCTTGCCTCCGCTCCCCCACCGCTGCCTCCCCCGAGCGCGCCGCCGCTCGGCTTCTCCTCCCTCCCTCCCTCCCTCCCAGGCTTGCCACACGAAACAGGTGCGCGGCAAGCCAGGGAGGGAGGGGGAGAAGCAGAGCGGCAGCGGTGCGCTCAGGGGAGCAGGCGGAGGCGGAGTGGAGGCAAGCTGGGGCGGCGGGGGCACATTTCTAGGGGCAGCATAGCAGGCGCCAGAATGCCGCCCCAAGCACCTGCTTGTTTTGCTGGTGCCTAGAGCCGACCCTCCCTAAGGCTAAGATTTTGTCATGGACATTTTTAGTAAAAGTAAAAGGTCACACGCAAAAAACAAAAATTCACGGAAGCTGTGACCTGTCCGTGACTTTTACTAAAAATATCCCTGACAAAATGGGGATCTGCAGGTCCCCACACTGCCTGAAGTGGGGCAGCTGCACAGGGGCTAGGAGGCCCTAGGAGGCTCCAGACGCCCAGGGCAGCGGGGAGCTCAGGGGTTCCCCTGCAGCAGTTCCCTCACCACTGGCAGGGTGGTGATTCCCTCACCACTGGCAGCTGCTTGGGAGCTGCGGGGTTTCCCACTGCCTGCAGCAGCCGGAGGGTCAGGAGTTCCTCTGCCACTGGCAGCTCTGGGGGCCCCTACCACCTAGAGTGGCCAGGAGCTTGGGGGTTCTGCCGCCGTGAGCTTGGGGGTACCCCCCGTCTGCATCGGCTTGGAGCTCCAGGAGCTGCCAGAGGCAGCAGGGTACTTCGCAGATCCCTGCCCCCACGGGTGGCAGGGGAACCTGCAGCTTCCGACCACCGCAGGCTGAAGTCACGGAGGTCGCTGGAAGTCACAGATTCCGTGACTTCCGCAACCTCTGTGACTAAATCATAGCCTTATTCATAACATTACTTCTGCTCTATATTGGGTAAGACAAGAGAAGTCTAAAGTTAGGTCAACCCAGCTATGTTGCTCAGGAGTGTGGGAAAAGGCACAGCTAGGTAGTTAAGATGACCTAAACCCAGACAGACAGCTCTAGGTCAATGGATGAATTCTTTGGTCGAACTGGCTACTGCCTGTTGGAGGAAGATTTACCACAGCAACAGGAGAACCCCTCCCTTTGCCTCAGTGAGTGTCTACACTTAAGTGCTGCAGCAGTGCAGCTGCAGTGTTTCGAGTGAAGACAGACTAAGAGTTACATACACTCCCATCTCTTTAAACTCAGAAGCAAAGCAGAAAATTATTTGTCTGCTAGATAAACACCTTGGATTAGGGACTATAAACATTAGAACAGATTAATTAGCAATTTAAAATAATTTCTTCCAACAACAGTGTGTGTCATCTGAAGGATGGGGTGGAGGATTTCAAATGTGGGTTGAAAATCCTCATTTCAGTAAGTCTACCTCCAACGTACCATTTGGGGGTGGGGTAAGCAACGAAGGTGGGACAGGAAAGCAGGAAACGAAACTGTTTAGCCACCAGATTAACTAGGGCCTTGAATGAATGTGGTGAAAGGCCAAGAGAAAGAGGTGTTTGGTGTAAACCAGGCACATCAAAAGAAACCTCAAAAGACATAACCAGGGCTGTAAAGGGGAAAGCCCGGAGGCACTGTCTCTGAGGCCACATTCCACACTTGGAAAAGTGAATTGCTAAATTAAGGTTTTTCGCTGTAACTGGAGTTCTTTTAAGATGGACTCTACATTTTCACATTCATAGGGTGCACAGCTGGTGCCACATTGATGGCAGAATGTTTCACAGAAGTACTCACTGGAGTGCTCTCATGTCCCTCCTGTTCCTGGTTGTGATGGAATGGTATTACTACTTGGGGAAGAAATTTAGGATGGGGACGATAGGCGCCAGCTTCCTCTGGGCCCAGGTGTTGCTCAAGCCCCTGCTCCGCCCCAGGTCCCGCTCCCACCTACCCCCTTCCCCCAAATCCCCAACCCCATCCCACTTCTTCCCGCCACCACTCTCACCCCTTCTCCCAAGTCCCCACTCCCACCCTGCCTCTTCCCGCCCCCTCCCCGCTCCTCCCACTCCTCCCAGAGCTTCCTGCATGACAGGAAACAGCTGATTCTGGCAGGTGGGAGGCACTGGGATGGAGGGGGAGGAGTCGAACGGCAGGGCCGCCAATGGATGGGAGGCGCTGGAAGTGGGGGAAGGAGAACCGCCTACCAGTGGGCACCCACTAATTTTTTTCCAGGGGTGCTCCAGGGCATTTTATTCTTGTGGAAAACCATGAATGACAAAAAGGAGTACTTGTGGCACCTTAGAGACTAACCAATTTATTTGAGCATAAGCTTTCGTGAGCTACAGCTCACTTCATCGGATGCATTCAGTGGAAAAAAATCAGCTCATCTTAAGTGATCACTCTCCTTACAGTGTGCATGATAAACACCCATTTTTTCATGTTCTGTGTGTATATAAATCTCCTCACTGTATTTTCCACTGAATGCATCCAGTGAAGTGAGCTGTAGCTCACGAAAGCTTATGCTCAAATAAATTGGTTAGTCTCTAAGGCGCCACAAGTACTCCTTTTCTTTTTGCGAATACAGACTAACACGGCTGCTACTCTGAAACCTGTCATGAATGACAAATCAGCCATGAGAGCTTGTATTTCACTTACTTTTCTACCAGATGTGATTGCTATAACAAAAGGTGTCTTAATTGAAAAGTGAAATAGGGAACATTTCCCCAAGGTTCAAAGGAAGGTTTCACAAGCTGAATAAACACTAGGTTGAGGTCCCATGTTGGTGCTGGTTCTTTGACTGGAGGGTAAACATTCATTAGTTCCTTCACAAATCTTAGCTGTATCATGGGTAAATACAGTCTTATGATCAATTAGCACAAGGTGTGCAGAAATAGCTGCCAAGTGCACTTTGACGATGATCTAGAGAGTCCTTATAATTTCAAATGGAGCAGGTACGCCAGTATGGATGGAATGAAGGCTGATGCTGAATCCAGGTTATTTGCCCAAAATTGAAAAAAAACGGTTACTCACCCTTTTTGTAACTGTTGTTCTTCAAGATGTATTGATCAGATCTATTCCAGTTAGGTGTGCGCGTGCCATGTGCACGCTGTCGGAAACTTTTCCGTAGCAGTACCAATCGGGCCGGCTGTGGAGCCCCTTGGAGTGGCGCTGATATGGCGCTTTATATACAACCCTGCTCGCCCGACACCCTTTCAGCTCCTTCTTGTCGGCAGAAGGTGGTGGGGAAGTGGAATAGATATGAGCAACACATCTCAAAGCACAACAGTTACAAAAAGGATGAGTAACCATTTTTTCTTCTTCAAGTGCTTGCTCATATCAATTCCAGTTAGGTGACTCCCAAGCCTTACACTGGAGGTGGGGTCGGAGTCGGTACTGCAGACTGAAGAATCGCCCTGCCGAAGGCCGCATCATCATGAGATTGATGGACGATGGCATAGTGCGACATGACGGTGTGCACCAAAGCCCATGTGGCAGCCCTGCAGATTTCCTGGAGGGATACATGCGCCAGGAAGGCTGCAGAGGAGGCTTGAGCTCTTGTGGAGTGAGCCGTAACAGTAGGCAGAGGGACATTTGCAACTTTATAACAAGAGCAAATACATGAGGTAATCCATGAAGATATCCACTGGGAAGAAACCAGAGCATCTTTCGTTCGACGAACAACTGGGTTGTCTTGCGGAACGGTTTTGTTCGATCTATGTAGAAGGTGAGCACCCTTCTGACATCCAAGGAATGCAGCTGCTGCTCCCGAAGATTGGTTTTGGGTAGAAAACGGGCAGGAAAATATCCTGGCTGCCATGGAAACAGGATACAACTTTTGGTAGGAAAGCTGGATGAGGTCTAAGCTGAACTTTATCCTTATGAGATGAAAATTGTATATGGTGGCTCACACGTGAAGGCCCATAGCTCAGAAACATGTGCTGAGGTAATGGCAACTAGGAAGGTAACCTTCCAGGAGAGATAGAGAAGCGAGCAGGAAGCTAGTGCTGCGAAAGGAGGACCCATGAGGGAGAAAGAAGTTAAGGTCCCAGGCCGGCACAGTGGGCTACATCGGGGGATAGACATTTTCCAGACCTTTTAGGAAACATCCCACGATGGGGTGTGCAAACACGGAATGCCCAGAAATGCCCGGGTGGAATGCCGGGATAGCCGCAAGGTGGACCTTAGGAGAGATGAATGCCAGGTGTTGGTCTTTCAAGTGCACTAGATAGTCCAAGATGCACAGGATTGACGCCTGAAGCAGGAGCACCTGCCATTAAGCACACCAAATGGAAAACCGTTTCCACTTTGCTTCGTACGCAATCCTGGTAGAAGGTTTGCGGCTTTCCAGGAGCACCTGTCTCACCAAGTCCGAATAGGCGAGCTCAGCCTGGTTCAACCACAGATCCTCCAGACCATGAGATGGAGAGACTGAAGGACGACTGTGATTCTGTGA